TGGCCACGCTATCAGCCGCAGCAGCTGCGGCTGCAATGAGAGGCACAGGAGGTGTTTCGTGCAGCTTAAGTATATATATTTATATGTTTATTTGCTTCCTATATCCGTCTCCCCTTGTCCTTTTGTCTTTGTCTTTCTGTATCTACTTTTGTCTCTGTCTTGACTTTGGTTTATCTGTGTCTCTGGCGCAGCTCTCGGCGCGCAAGTCCACGCCCTGAATTTGCTGCGGTCGTTTGTTGCCACATCTCCTGAGCTCGCAGCATGCGATGTGCTGCCAGCAGCAGCAGCAGCGGATGATGCGCTGCGCTCCTGCTGCAGCTGCAACAGCGGGTGCAGCAGCAGGAACAACGACAGCAGCAGCAACGGCAATATCAACAACAGCACCAACAGCAGCACACTGCAGCAGCAGCCGACGGGGTTGCCAGAGGCACCAACTGAATATGCTGCCAAGAATGTTATTCCGCCGACGTCTGCTACAGGAGAAGTCGAGACCCCCGAGCTGTCTGTACACCCCAGATCTAACCCCCCAATGACGCTTGCTGTTGCAATGCTCGCTGTTTCCATTCAAACTGTCTCCTCAGCAGACTTTCCCGTGCGCAGCGCTGCTAGCTCTCTTCAAGTTGCTGCCACCAAGCGCCTGGCGGGAACGGACGACGAAGTAATGCCGCTCCATAAACCCTAAACCCTAGACCCTAAACCCTAAACCCTAACCGCTAAACCCTAAATGTAATCACTAGTGACAACGCGTGCTGGGGTTTGTTGCTTTTCAAAGCCTCCAAGCCTGAGGCTCTCACGAGGAACGACAATAGACACCGTCAGGTGTGTGCAGCAACGTCTGCCTGTGTGCATTTTGCTGTTGCTGCTGCTGTTGCTGCTGCTGTTGCTGCTGTTGCTGATGTGTTGGTCTGCAGACTCAGCGCGCGTCTGCCAACGCCTTTGAATTTTGCAGCGGCGCCGCGCTGCGCACACACTCAGGGGCAGGGAGCGGCTTGCTGTCCATAGATTTCTTGTCTCTTGCTGCTCCTCGGCTGCGCCCCCTCCTAGCGCGGGCTCTCATCCCGCTTGTCAGTACAGCCACACACAACACGACGCGTGCAGGCAACAACAGCCGCCTGCAGTCCACCCCCCAGAGCTGCCACCAGATCCACCAGCAACAGCAACAGCAACACCAGCAGATCCCGACGCAGGTGAACCAGCAGCAGCAGCAGCAGCAACAGCAGGAGCAGCAGCAGCAGCTGGTAATACCACAAAGTGCTGCTTTGCTCATCCGTGGACTGGCAGCTCAGGGGCCTTCGGGGGCTTCAGCGTTGGTCAACCGTTTGCCCGTGGGGAGTTTGCCCTCAGCAGAGTCAGCTGAACAGCAGCAGCAGCAGCAGCAGCAGGAGGCAGCAGTCGCTGTGCTGCTGCTGCTGACCCGCACAGACCTTAGTTCCATCGCTGCTTCGGATCTCCCCGCCCTTGAGACTCTGTTGCAGAGAAGCCCCCCATATGCAGTATTGGCTCAGCTGCGAGCGGTTGCTGCAGCAGGGGCTCCCGACAGCAGCATCAACTCTAACTGCTGCTGCTGTAGCAGCAGCTGCTCAACGCAGGCACGCGTTATGGAGGGGTCTGCTGGCGCAGCTATTGCTGCTTCACGGCAGCTGGTTACAAGCGCTTCCTTTGGGGTGCGCCAGCCAGCAGGAGAGGACGGAGAGGCCTCCTCGTGGCTGCTGCTGCTGCTGCGTTCTTTGTGCTGCTGTCTAGGATCTGTGTCATTTGCTTCCCGCGCCCTCGCAGCGCGCGCCTTGGCTTCCTACGTGCTTCAGAGGGGTCGCACGTGGGGGGCTGAAAGCCTTTTAGAGGCCCTCATTGCAGCAGCAGCAGCGGCGTCTGCTGCTGCTCCACCTGAACGGGCAGCCGGCGTACTTGACGCAGCTTCAGCTGCTACGGGGTGCCTCAATAACTCTTCTTGTGCCCCCGCAGGTGCTGCTTCTGTTGCTCCTGCTGCAGCAAACGCTGCAGCTGCAGATTGGATGCAGTGCCGCCTGGACGCAAACGAACGGAGCGGTTTGCTGCTGTTGGCGTTGGAGCTGTTGAGCCGCCCCGAGGCTGCAGGTTTGGTTGAGGAGGCGCTGGGGGCGGTGAAGAGCACCCAGCTGTCTCAGAAGCTGCAGAAAATGGGCTGGCATCTGCAGCAGGCAGCAGCAGCAACAGCAGCAGAAGGGCAGGCAACTGGTCGGCGTAGCTCGGTGGAGAGGGTGCTGCTGCTGCAGGTGCTGCGGGCTGTGGCGCTTGTGGTCCCCGAGAGATACAAAGAGGAGCTGTGGGGCCGAGCTGCAGCAGCGAGCACAGCAGCGTTAGAGCTGCCCCCGGACGACGAAGAAATAGATACAGGAATATCATCGTCAGCAGCAGCAGCAGCAGCAAGAGCAGCTGCGACCAGAGGACCCTCCTTCATCCGCCATGTAGGCCTGCCGGCTCTCCAGGCGGTTTCGCTGGGTCTTCTTGTAGAGCGGCACCTCAGACCCCTCCGGCCCGCAGCAGCAGCAACAGCAGCAGCAGCAACAGCAGCAGCAGCAGCAGCACACTTGCGGTCGCTGGAAAAGGTGGCTAGAATCCTCCAGGATGCGATTGCCTTATCAGTTCATCCGCAGGCCGTTGAGGTGGCGTTGCTAGCAGCGGCTGACTTAACGAGGGTTCACTGTACATTTAGATATGAGGGTTTACAGTCTACGCAGATGTTTTCTGAGGGTTTAGGGTTTACAGAGGGCTGTAGTGAGGGGCCAGGGCAGCAGCCAGAAGCTGAGGCCTTGGAGCCAGCAGAGATCACCGCCAAAGGCCTCACGAATCTATGGAAATTGTGCTGGAGCCTCATGACCAGCCGGCGTGGGATCGGGATCGGGATCGGCTCGAGCGAGGCGATCCCAGGGGCAGCAGAATCTACAGACTTACTGTGGGGTCTCCGCACCAGCTCTGACCCCTTGAGCGTGGCCGCCTGCGAGGTGTTGGCTTCGCTCGCCGCTTTTGCTGCAGCACATCCTCGGCTCTGCAGGGAGTCTTGCGTTTTGCACCCGCAGGAAGCAGCATCTGCAGCAGCTGCTGCTGCAGCTCCGGCTGCTGCCGCTGCTGTTACCAGCAACGGCGCTGCCGCCGCCTGGACGCGGTTGGGTGCTGCACTCCTCCGATGCTCCGCTGCTTCAGCCGGCAATAGTAACAGCTGTATGAGCAGCAGCAAGAGCAGCAGCAGCAAGAGAAGCACATGCAGCAACAGCAGCAGCAACAAGAACACAACCAGCAGCAGCGAGGCGAGCGGTGCTTCGATATGTTTCAAAGCAACCCAGAATCTATGGGCCGGTCTGTGGGCCTCCGCGGTGCTGCGGTGCGCTCAGCCAACGCAAGAAGTGGCTGTCAGGCTAAGAGCAGCAGAGGTAAGTTGAGAAAGAAGAAAAAATAATAAAAAAAGAGAAATCAAAGGGAGACAAATGCTATGAAAATACAGATACAGGAAGCTGAAAATGCATACACACAGAGAAAATGACATATGCAAGTGTGACGGCTAAACATCCTAGAAATATAACGCTGGCATCCACATAAATATTAAAATTTAATAGATAGTGAAGTAGAGAACAATAGCAAGCTGTTGCAGACAAAATAGAAATAGAGACAAGTTGCTGCAGACAAAGAAAATAGACGCAGACTGAGGAGCACGTAAAGAGACGATAATAGAGACGAAGATGAATCCAATAGAAAAGCAATGAAGTTGTTGCTGTCAGGTAGCCTTCAGGTAGAAGTATATTTACGTTGGGTAGAGGGATGAGGGGCTTCTACGTTGCAGCGGCTAGTATCCAGTAGCAGCTAGCTGCAAGAACGAGCAGCTAGCTGCAACTAGCTGCAGCCACGAATAGCTAGCTGTCCTACGTATTAAGGTGAAGAGGAAGAAATAGAATTGTGTTCGTGTATAAACAGAATGCGTGGCTTTGTATTCAATCGCCGCTGCTTGCTGTCTGCTGCTGCGTCTCCTGCGTAGGCGCTAAGCATCTCCGGGCTGCCTCTGCCCTGCATGCACGGCCTCGGGCTGGGCTCTGGCAGCTGCTGCTCCTGGGCGAAACTTCGAGTCTGGAGGGCTTTCCTGTTGCTGCTGCAGGTTTGTCTTAGCTAGCACCAGAAGAAGCATCAGCAGCAACAGCAGCAGCAGCAGCAGCAACAAGCACAACCAGCCTGCATGCGTCAAAAATATTTGCCTGTATAAACTCAAAAGCAACAGCAGCAGTAAACCAGCAGCAGCAGCAGATGCATGCATCACACCTGCCGCATAGCTTAGTTACAGATACATCATCTGGTTTCGTGCTTCTATCTGTTGTGGCTTTGGCTGCAGGATGAAGACGTCGCCGTGAGAGAAGCAGCGGCAGCAGCAGCATCTGCTGCTGCTGCTGCGCTGCTCTGTCGCCTCCCGCTGGCAGCAGCAGGATCTACAACAGCTTGTGGAGCAGCAGCAGCAGCAGCATATAAGGAAAGCAGCGGGCATACAGAAGAAGTGCAGCTGCTGCTGACTGTAGCAGCAACTCCAATCCTTAGTAACGAGCCTCACGGGCTGGAGGCAGGCGCTCTCTTTCAGCTGCTGCTGCAGCTCCTCTCTAGGGTAAGGAGACTCAGGCTGCTTCTCGCTGCTTCCTTCTGTTGCTCGCTTCTGCTTGCTGGTGCTGTGTGTTCAGAGGCTACCTCGGTTAAGGTTTCTGCTGCGGGCCTTGCTTCTGTTGGCTTTATTGTTTCTGTTGCTTCGCTTGCTGTTGCGGGGGTGCTGCAGCAGCAGCTACTGCAGCACGTGAGGTTGTGTAAGTGTTCTGTGTTTATGCAGATTTTCCCAGAGAGAGATGTCTGCCGGCTGCTGTGGAGGCAGCTGCGCCACGGCGGCGGCATAAGTGGCAGCAGCAGCAGCAGCAACAGCAACGCCTTGACAGGGTTAAGAGAGGAAGAGGCAGCAACGCAGGAGCAGCAGCAGCAGCAGCAGCAAGCAACAGTTGCTGCGGTCGAGAGACTATTTGAAGAAGAGCCGATGAACATATATGGTGACCCGCTTTTCTCAATGCAAGTTGCAGCCCGTGTGCTGCTGCTGCTGCTGCTGCAGCAACACGTAGGGCCTCAGGGGACGGCGCAGACAGAAAATATGACTGCTATGGAGGCCGAGACAAAGGCACAGACAAAGACGCGGGGAGGAACAGAGACAGAGGGAGATAGAGCAAAGGAGACGAAAACAGATGCAGCAGCTGCTGCAGTGCGGCGGGCTGTGGTGCTGGCCAGCGTCTGCGCACTGCATCACAAGGGAGCCGCCGTGGCAGCGCTGCAGGACCTAAGGGGAGGAACAGCAACGAGCTGTTGCAGCTGCTGGCGCTGCAGCAGCAGCAGCCACAGCAGCAGCTCCTGCAACGAGGGGGCAGCAACAGCAACGGCAACAACAACAGCAACAGCAACAACAGCAGCAACCGCGGCACCAACACCAACATCAGCACCAGCAATGAGAAACTCACAAGTAAATACTAGGACTCTGTGGTTGAGGAAGGCGATGAAGACAGCAGCAGCAGACATGCAAGCACTGCACGAGGCGCTCAGCAGCACCGCAGCAACTGCTGCTCCTGAGGTAAGACAGGAGGCCTTTGATCTGCAGGTCAAGGGCAGCAAGCGGTGCTGCAACAGCAGCAGCTGCAGCAACAGAATCATCAGCAGCACCAGCAGTAGCATGGGTGTTCTCTTGCTTGCGTGTGTCTGAGGTACAGGCTGGGACTGCATGCGGCTCTGCTGCTGCTTCTCATTGGCTGCTGCATCCAACGCAGCAGCAGCTGTATCTACAAGCGCAGCAGGTCCTGCTGAGCGCGTGGGTGAGCGTCCTGCTGTGGTTAGATTATGGGTTGTCATTCGAGGACACAAATGTAAGGCTCCTTGCTGCAGCAATAAAGACGCTGCTGCTTCAGTTTGATGCTGCTGCTGCCGTCGGTCAGCACCCGCAGCCTCTTGTGGTTGCTGCAGCTGAAGCTCTCTATGATATCCTCAACTGCGCAGCAGCTGCCGCAGCAGCGGATGCGGCGGCATCGGGTGCAGCAGCAGCGGACGCAGCAGCAGCAACAGCACCAGCAGCAGCAACAGCAGTATCAACGGACAACCCCGTCGATGTGGCCAAGAAGAACTTTCTTGTTTCTTCTTCGCAGTCCCGAGAAGAAGTGAAGATATTTATAGAACAAGGAGACAGAGAAAGAGATACAAAACTAGCAGCAAGCAGCGCGCAGTCTGCTGCTCTGCTGGCAGAGTGTTGTCTCTCGTTGCTGCCGGATTCGTTTCCTTTTCGTTGTTAGTTCGTGTGCTGATGTTTTTTCTTTCGTTTCCTGAGCTGCCTGTTGATTTTTTTTTTCTTTTTCTTTACTTCTCCTTCTGTCTATTCATTTTGCCTTTTTTTTTTCCTTTTTCTTTACTTCTCCTTCTGTCTGTTCATGTTGCCTATCGTTTGCTTGTCACACTTCATTCAGAGTTTGCGGTGTATCCTGAAGTTGAGGATTTCCCCTCGAAACCGCCGGCTGCATCAATGCAGTTTGTTAAAGCATCAGGTTTTTCTGTCATCGAATTGAGATACACGCGCACGCACATACACACATACGCACACACACATACACGCACACACACGTAGATATATATATATATATATATATATATATATATATATATATATATATATATATATATATATATATATTCATATCTCGTTCTGAGCAGAAGATAAGATGTAAATTATTAGGCCAGAACAGTATACTTGCTGTTGCTGTTTGTCTCATATAGATCAGCTTGAGTTCACACCGCAAGCATTTGGTTTCCGTTTTCTATCGTAGGCAGCTGCTCTTCGTGTGTATGGGATAGAAGCTAGGGGGACTAATACTGTTCCTTACATACACATATACTCATACATGCATACACTGCATATAAAACTTTTGTATATTCACATACGAAATAAATATATATTCAGTGCGTGCCGACTTGCGGCCTACTGAAGTTCTTTGGCAAATGCAAAGAAACACGGAGAACTCTTTACATATATTTTGAGTTGTTGATGACATGCTGGTGGTTTCTCCTGCACATCTCTGCATTTGTTGATGCGACTCGCGACGCCAGGAGACCAGCATATGATTAGGTGTTCATAAATGTATTTAGGGAAATGTATACACTGACCCACGGGTATATAGACTGTCTCCAGCCTTAGCGTCAGACTTTCGTTAGTCTTAGCAGTGTGAAAATGCTGAGGAGAACAATGCCCTCACTACTAGCAGCGGCGGCACAAAGGCCTCGGGGAGCACTATCTGAGCTGCAGCAGTTCCTGCTGCAACTCCTGCTGCAAGCTCCTATGATGGATAAGCCAAGCCGTAGTCAACAGTTAAACAAGTACTGGGCCCCCAGGGGCCGGGGATGCACACAAAGGTAGATACACTCTGTACTATTGATAGACGGCGCTATCGGGGCAGACAGGAATACACGCGTTGACGGCTGAAAACTGTTCTCCTGGAAACTTGTGCTGTGCACTGCTTCCCCAGCAACCGTACCGCTGCTCCGTATTGCTCTACACCCCTAAAACCCAGGTGCCTGGGTTCCCTGTACCCGAGAGACAATATGAGCGGAGGACTGTGGTTATGGTGTTCACTATTCCCTGCTAAATGTTTTACTTTATTCGTCTATGCTTGTGAGGAACACTCTAATGCAAGAAACTGTTTACTATATGTGCCGCGTTGGTCGGCGGGTGCTGGGAGCGGCACAGTGACCGCACGTACACCCCAGGTGAACTGCGTGGCTGTCTAGTGTTATACTAGTCATTTATTTGTTTTAAAAGTATGTACTTATGCATAAAAATAGAACAGTGGAAGGGCTATTGAACAAGACGGCAGCAGCAGCAGCAGCAGAGCAGCGGCAGCATAAGCAGCAGCTCCGCATATTTCCCATAGCAGTGGCCCCGGAAGCGCGGGTTAGTTGATGTTTTTTGCTGCTGGGTTGCGGCCTTTTTATACTTTTGCATGCACATTCTGTTGCATGTGAGCTACCTATACACCTTATTTTTGTTGCTGGAACGACAAACCGCAACACGGGGCCCTGCGCCCCCCTCGTCTCACCGAAGCCCCAGCCCATTTCTAGCCCCTGCTGATACATTTTGTGTATTTAAATAGAAATATATACAAACTTTTCAGAAGACAAACAAGCTGCTACTTTCCAGGCCCCTTCTAGGCAGCGCCGACGCCCCCCGCTGCCGCTGCTGCTGCTGCGCTATCGCTACATAGAGGCCAGGCGGATGAGCAGCAGGACTACCCGCGGGCTCCTTTATAACTGTTCACCCAGCAGCAGCAGCAGCAGAAAGAGCGGCAACAGTAGCAGCTACAGCAGCGGCTACAACAGCGGCATCAGTGGCAACAGCAGCAGCGGCGACAGCAGCACCGACGGCAGCAACAGCAGCAACAGCAGAAGGAAGAAACTATTAGATCTGGCTGTCTTTGAATAGCCTCGTGCCCGGTCGGCAGGGGCTGTGTTTGCGTGTTTGCTGCGGTGCGCGAGCAGCCAGCAGCATATCGTAGGCCTTTACTCACCTCTATCAGGGGTTAGGGTTTAGGGTTTCGGCATTTAGGGTTTAAGGCTGAAAAAGATGGACGTACACGAGCATGAGGCAGCAACAGGCTGCCGTTTTTCATGGAACATTTGGCCGCCAACGCGAGCTGAGGCACAGCAAATAGAATTGCCGCTGGGGTGTATGTACACCCCGTTGCGAGACTGTACTCATCTGCAGCTTGTCGAGTATGAACCCGTCAGATGCAGAGCCAGCGGTTGCGTCCTAAACCCCTTCTGTGCAGTGGATTTCAGGTAACACCTGCTGCTGCTACGGCCCTTCTGACTGCTGCAGCTGCTGCTGCTCCTTCTGCTGCTGCTGCTCGTGGTGATCCTGCTGCTGTTTGTGCTGCTGGTTCTGCAGCTCTTGGTTCTTA